CCCATCCCCGGCACTCCATCCCTGACACCGTCACCCTCGGGATCCCCATCCCCGGCACTCCCGGTACCGCCACCGCCGGGATCCCCATCCCCGGCGCCCCCCGACCCCGGGAACCACATTTTATCCAAAACAAGGAGTGAAGGGAACGCCAACCTCAATCAAAATCGGGGGAGGTGTGGATTTCGTTGAATTACACGTGGCAAAATTTGCCTTACCACGTTGTTTTACGAGCTATTCGAGAAGAATGTGCACAAAAATCAGGGCAGACGTCTCAAAACTTCAAACAAGAAATTCTCAGAGAAGGTTCAAGCCTTCTCTCAAACAGTTTCCTCCTTGAACACTTTCAGGTATCTCTGCACCTCCTTGGGAAATCCTGTATGGCAAGAGAAACTTTTACTGACTATGTTTTGTACAAAGACCAGTATGCCCCGGTAGGACCCAAGCGTTCAAAATTTGGATTTTAATTTCCCGTGTTACCCATGAGAAACTCCTCTGTCGATTTTTATAAATTTGATTTCTCAAGCTTACATTTGACCTTAATACTCAGATTCACTAAAAGCGCGATATATTATAAAATTTTTAAAACAAAGAAACAAACAACCCCCAAACCATTGCAACTCCTTGCCTCCCCAAAACAAAACCAAACCCACTTCAGATGTGCTGAAGATACTATACATCCACAACTTTTGGAAGCAAATATCACCAGTTTCTTTGAAATTCTTGAGAATAAAACACAGTCTTGAGAGATTCCTGCCCTTAGCAGATAAGTATTCTGCAAGTTTATCTGAGTATTCCCTAACCCAGTATTTCTGTTTGTTTGTATAATGGAACTGGTTTCTTCCAAAGCGAAACCAGCAGAGTTTCATGTGGTTTCAGGTTTCCATAGGAAATATTTACTCGGTTCCATGTAAACAGGGAGTACTCTGTTTCATTTAAGCCTCTAATTCACTTAGAAACAATAGAGTAGGTGCCACAGACACATCTATCTACGTGCATTATCTTTTCTCATCATTACTAATTAGGAAGCACTTAGCTAGAACATACAGTGGCAAAATGAGTTATTAACACAGTTGTTGTTTCTCTTTGTTTAGGAAATAATAGTTTCTGAATACTCAATTCTATGTGACTTCGACTTAACACACAGGCCTTTTTTTCACAATGCTAATAGAAAATATTTTGAGTGTCTTGTCTGATAGGCTCAAACAGTTAGAGTAATCAAATCTTGAAGCTTTTTTTTTCCCTTTGAGGCTCTCATCAGATTAGAATTACTTTTGCATCCCAGTGGTATTCTCCACGGTTAACTCTCTCTCTTGTTTACAGTTGTTAAATCAAGTGACAACTCCTATTTGTAGCTGTTAAATAAGATAATAACTCCAATGTCTTTAACTGTAATGAAACTAAAATATTAGTAGATCTGAATGACCTACTTTTAAAATACTGTTTTTACAGAAATTTGTCTGGTGAGAAAAAAAACACAGTAATTTTGAATTAAAGCTCACATCCTTGCTAGTGCATGTAAGGCTGAAATTGAGCCCTTAAGCCACAGGTGGACTTCAGACTTTAGTTTTCCAATACGCTTTCAACATCTGGTTCTGTATTAGTTCATCAAGAAGGTCATCTACAGAAGTGTCTTCCTATGCCTTTTGTTATATTCTTTAAAACCGCTTCTTTAAACACATAACTTCTTGTTGATTGAAGTTATGCAAGTCAATGGAACTTCAGACTAAAATTGGTATAATTTATATATAAAAGATTAATTTACAAGGTTTTTAAAAATCACATTTAAAAAAAAAACAACGAAGACCTAAGTACAGGAAGTATAAAAATACAACCTTTTTAGTTAAAAAAAACCCAAACCAAACCAACGAAAAGAGACAGCCAGCTTGACTTCACCTCTGCATTTTCTTGTATTCAATGGGAATGTTCCCCTGAATATTCCTCCTATCATCACAGGGCTGCTGGATCAGTTGACAAAACAGTCACCTGAAGTATAGACCCTGAGGCATTGCTTTAGCTTCTACAAAGTGCTAATTTTCAATTTTTAAAGCAATGAACAAAAAAACCCCAACAACAATAAAAACACAAACAAAAAAAAGAGGTAACACATACTGTCCTTAAGTACACATATTTTTATCTATGGATCTCAGTTAAAGGCGAGGCATTAGCTGGGAAAAGTGGTGATGATTTTGCCCTTGTTTGGCCTTACATTCTTAATTCTCACTGAAGCTGCAATGTCTTTTTTCCAATGTGATTTCACAGTGAAACAGGCAAAGCATATTTGCTATTCGACAGCAAGTGGGTTTTTTTTCAGTGAAGATAAAGCTGCAGTTAATATGTGCCTCACACTGTTAAGGTGAAGAAGCAGTGAAATGCTGCAGAACATCTATAGCAAATCATACTGTGGCCATCCAAAGCCACACACACAAAAAAAATCGACCTATGATTCCTTTCTCCTCACCTAACACTTCCCTACAGCAGGCAAACATTTGCTCATTAAGAACTGGAATCTTCAGAACCTACCTTGAGAAACAGCAGGAGTTGATGCACACTTCTCCCTTCGTAGTTTTATTCTATAAAGTGCTTTTTCTGCTAAGCCCCTGGCTCTCTCTGGGACAAAAGCTGGTTTGGAGACACCTGCTACCTACCTTTACCTACACAAGGTCTGTAAAACCACAGAAGAGAAACATTCCCTTTGCAGAGAGCAGGCAGATTCCTGTCTTGAGCATGTGACAGAGCATCCACAGGTATCCCAGCAGGAAATTCATTTCCCAAACTCAGGCTATTTCCTAGTGGCCAAAGGAAAGACCATTGATAGGATTTCCTTTAGTCACATATTTTTTCAAGATGGAGGAGAAGAAGAAGTGGAATTATACAAACATATGATAAATATGTATTTATCATATGTACTATATGTAAGGCTGTCCAGATTCTGGTCCCAATTCTGGTCCCTCTCACCTTTACTATTGTGGGACAGAATCTAGGGTGACTCAATCTCTGCCATTCTGTGCCTGTTTCCAGCATGGTCCTTGCCCAGATCACCTCGCTGGTTTATCTGGGAAAATGCACAAATCCAGACAGCCCCCAGTACTACAGAACTAAGAGAGAGATCTGATGCAGAGATAAGATTCATTGCTTTCAAATTCAGCACTTCAGGCACAGCATACCGATATTCTCTGGATGCAAATTTGGTACTTTGGTAAAGATAGTGCCGTGCCCAGTGCACCAGATCACTGAATTTACTTTGATATTAAAGATAAATGTCAACCAAACGTTTTTCTGACTGCATGACTACATTTCTGGGCTGTATTTCTCAACCTTTACAATGCTGCAGCTAAACCTTCTGATTCATGTAATCACGAGAAACTGAGAAAGTTTGTGGTATAAATCCAGCTCTATTTAGGAATTCTAATGGCAACCAAAAAGCTACTGGAGACAAGATGGTCAGAAGAGCAGGGACATGGGTTTTTTTGAGGGTAAATCAGGTTTTGGAATGTTCTAAGCTGCAATTTACATTCCAGGGGCAGAGAGCACTCCTACCCAGTCATTACACAGCTCAGCTCTACTGAGACCATACAATCAGTGTGTGCTTTTGCAAAAAAAACCCAACATACTCACTATATGCAGGCAAATTACTTAAGAAATACAGTCTCAGCCCTAATACAGTCATGATGAAGTGCCCTTTATCCGAGTGAGAGGAACTCACAAGGTGGTCACATTAATACTATTTTAATTGCCAGATTGTATCAGCACAGCCTACGCTGCCAAATTACTCATTTATCTTAAACTAATTCCTACGTATTGCATTGGAGTTTTGTCCTGATTTGTAAGATTTGAATTTTAAAATCCTTTTTGTCAGGTATCATAAAAATAATTTAAACCATTTTTTACATCCTCAAATCAGACACTGGAGCAGTTAAAACCACTTTCTTACTTTAACTTTTTTCTATTTGACATATATTTTCGTACATTCATCCAAATATTTTTAGAATTATTGAAAAAAGAAAAGTACTGGGGCGAGAGTGAACAAAATCGCAAGGAACAAAATTCAGCTGATTTGAAGACAGCAAATCTTTGGATCCCAATTTCTCATTTGCTGACTGTAGTCTTCTTCAAAAATATGCAGTAGACACACAGTTTAATCGGCCTGCTCTGCATAACTATCTGGAGACACCAGCATTTTCAAAGAAGGTTTCTGTTAAAGACGTAACTCCGATGATATTTTTTCGTTTGACAAAAAAATGTTGTCTCTGCAGATTTTTTGCCTGACACAACTATACTATAATTCTAAGAAAGATTAAAAAAAAAGATAAAAAAGACGGGGAGGTGGTGGGGAAGAAGCCAAGTTTGGTATTACCAATTTAAGTGTTGCACCTTTCAACGCTAAATGTCCATCTAGCTCTGCAGGTTAGGCACGGCTGGGAATAGGAACCAATATTGGCAAATTCCTCACACAAGTGTCCAATAGCATTTGCGAAACCGGTTATACAGCGGAGCGTTTCGGACAGGAGGGCTCTTCCCAGAGCGGACACTGCAGGGTTTTGCAATGCTCAGGTCAAACCCACAGCAGTTTTCCCCGAGCGGGGCCAGCCCTGCCTTCCACCGAGATACCGCAGTTCTTATCAGGGGCCCGGGGCTGGAGCAGCCGCAGCTCTGGGAGCTCTGCTGGGCTCCTGCCCCACACATCGGGGTGCGGGCGGCCGGGCCCCCC